TTAAGGACAGATATTTGATCTATCTGAGCACAGAAATGGCTATGTTGCTTCCTTGAACAACTGGTTTGTTTTTGCTTTACAGACACTAAATCTCATGAACTTTCACATTTCCCCTCTTCATGGTGGCTGCTAGGTAGCTCAGAGCCAAATTCATGAACCACTAATAGTTGAACCTTAAATTCTTAACGGCAGACATTTAGTGTATGTGGTTACATCTTGATTCCATCCTATTTCCTTAAGCTTAGTCTCTCTTCATCTCAAATTTTAAGACATGCATATGGGTTATTTAATCTTGGAACACCTTTCATATCTTTGTAAGTCACCTTAACTTTTTTTTTTAAGATTAAGGTGAGGATATAAGTGATTATTCCACTCTGGTTTCAAAGGTTTTGAAGCCTTTCAGACAGAAACCATCGCAGTGGAGTGTGTCTTTATGTACAGCGCCACTCCTTCTGGAACCCAGCTGATGTCTCAGGGACATCTTTGATATATTGTCCCTTTGCAGGGGTCTCTAAACCCACTGGCCCACCTTTTAATTGCAAATTACATTGTGAATTTATTGATTTTTCTTCTTAATATTTTTGGCCATGAAAACCGAATTATTTTGTGTTCCTTTCCAAGACTTGGGAGGTAAATTCCCTCCCTCATGGTAATGAAGTCCGAAAGAGAATTCATTTCCATCCCCTACAATACTGCTTTATGTTCAAAAATATCTTCGCGCTTTTACAAATCTCTAATTGCTGAAAGATCTGTAGTTAACAACAAATCTCAAATATTTAGCTTCAGGGATTTAAAATTCCAACTACAATGATAACTAAGATAAAACAATTATTATCTGCAATAAATGATCCACAGCAATGTCTTTTAGAAGAATACTTGTGGGCGACTTTCACTTCCATGACTGGGGGTGGGGTTGAGAGCCTGAGGAACTCAGCCAGATGCAAGGGTGGAAAAGTGAACAGTCTAAATGAGGCGCTCATTTCTCAAGTTGGAAACACGGGAAACAGTCCTCTGGGACACCGGCTGCTCTTCCCAGTCATTTGCTGTAGGGCTCTTCATTTCTCTTCCGGGAGCATTTTTAAGCTCCTAGACAAGGCGCACATCCGCACGGGCCCTATTTTTCTCGTTTCTCCAAAGGCACAGGAAGTGAGGCAAACCTTTTCGGTGTGATCTGCATCATGTTCTTCTTTGTGCAAGTTCATATTTTGGTTGAAATGATAACCAATAAATATTTAACATTCTAAAAGCTGTGGCTTTCCAGCTCCAGCCATCCATCCGATGGGAGACAATGTTGCATGCATTAATTTACAGCCCACTTTCATTTCAAGTGGGTCGATAATATTTCATAAGGTAGGAAACCAGACGGCATGATTTTGGTGGAGAGAGGAAAAGGGCACAGCTTGGTTTATAGACCTAAAAACTAAATTCTGAGAGGGAGGATAGAAATTGTTTGGCACTCATCTTATTTTTTGTTTTGTTTTTTTTCTTAATCGACATTTTCTTTTTTGTGAACTGAAGAAATTAACATTTTAAGAAGTGAAAGCTCTCTTGTGCTGATTTCCTCCCACTCCCCTTTCACACATGCACACACTCAGAAAGTCAGAGGGAGGGTGCTACCCACAAAAGCTGGCCACAGCATGTCCCTGCATTTGACCCAGTTGAGCAAAGGTGGTGTTTTGAAAAATGACCAACACTTGACATTTACATGATACTAAGTGATCTATTTGAATGTCATTATTTAAGCGATTGCTTTTCCAGCTTGCAGACAGTCTAATTCTCATCAATTTCACCTTTAATTTAGAAGACAAATGATAACCAATGAAAAGAAGAAGAAGAAAAAAGCCCACCACAGAGACCTGTGTCCTTACGTCTCAGTGGTTTTTCATTCACAGTGTCTTCTGTAAATGAGATTTTGAATCAACCCCAAACTGACGTTGAGTGGAAATATATTCTTCCTTTTTAGCTGGGACTGAGGAAAAATGGACGATGAATAAAATATCCTAATTACAAAAACCCTACAATGGGATCTGTTAAAATACATAAACATAAGTTCAATCATAGGAAAGTAATTGTTGTACATCTATATGCTAATGGGGGAACAAACTACTTTTACTCCAGATAATTCAGTGGTTATTGATTTTTTTTATTATTTTTTTAATAGATTTTATTTATTTGTTTGACAGAGAGACATAGCCAGAGCAGGAACACAAGCAGGGGGAGTGGGAGAGGGAGAAGCAGGCTCCCCGCAGAGCAGGGAGCCCAATGTGGGGCTCGATCCCAGGACCCTGGGACCATGACCTGAGCCGAAGGCAGACGCTTAACGACTGAGCCACCCAGGCGCCCCGTGGTTATTGGTTTTTTATCTTATATGTTTAATAACATGCTCCTAAGTTCAAAAGAATCCAAATACCAATGTTCAGTGATTTTGGCCTTCAAAGACCTTTAGCAGTATAACTATCTAAGGCTCATGCATCACTGCCTGTGCCCCTGGTGAGGTCTGGGTGCTAAAAGCAGAAATCAAGGCTAGCAGCCCAGAGCAAACCGCCTGTGGGATTGACTCCTCTCTGCTTCCTTTCCTCTTGAAATGAAAGGCTCACATGAGGGCGTAATGGCAGCAGAAGCACCAAAGGAACAAAGGTAGGTCATGTACCCATGGTTAGGGTACACATGGACCCCAGGCTGGGCCTTGAGTCTGGACCACTTTGTTTCCGGCATATACGAGGCCCAGATACCCCTGAAACTCCATTTTCCTTTCAAAGAGCTGATAGGATTTGTTTGATGGCAAATGATTAAAAAACCAGTTGGACAATGAAAAAACTGTCTTGTTCATGTAACTGAAGAGTCCAGTGGTAGGACTGATGCTGGGTCAGACTTGGTCCAGTGGCCCAGATGATGTCATCCAGGACCTTGTCACTGGTTTGCCTTTGGTGACACTGGCTTCATCCTCAGGCTGCAGTTTCTCATCTCATGGTAACAAAAGTGTTCTAGCCATTTCCAACTGCACGCCTTCATGACCTCTTCTCAAGGAGAAGGGAGAAGGTCTTCTGTTAGATCCCGTGCCTCTTGGGTCGTCCTTTCTCTCATATCCTGGGGAGGTAGGATATGCTGCTTGGCCTAAGCCAGTCATAGCCCACCCTGCAATAGGGAGCATGGTCACTCCCACCCACATGGAATGGGAATGGGGAGAATGGCTTCCCAAAAGGAAAATCAAAGTACCATCGAATGGGGAGCAATGGAGGCCACGGATGTAAACAAAAGGTATACACTACGACGACTTTGTAGCTTCTTGTTTAACTATGCCTTTTACCAAACATCTTGATTTTATTTCTTTTTGCCACAAAGTCACCTGAGGAAGTCAATGGTGACGTCAGTTCTGGTTGCAGGCTGGATGAAGACTCTGATGATCCTTTGATCTCCATCTCCCAAGTTCTGGCTCCGTGTCTCCAAAAGAAGGGGCTGGCCTGATGGCAGACACCTGGCACACAGGCCGCCACTTTCCCCTCTCGGTCCTACAGCAGACATCATCCATCAATCACAGGACTTTTTCCTGTGCAGGCCAGATGTGGCCCCAGAGACCTACATAAAACAGTCCTCCGGACAGCCTCTACGAATGTATTGGTGTTGACAAGTGAGATAAAACGTATTTGCCATCCCTGGAAAGGATTGCACACCAATGACCCAAACTATCAATGCATTTCACTCATATACCAAGAGCACTCACAAACACACATGCACAGGTTCCTACACCTCAGTGTTTCTCTAAATGTGGTTTGCAGATCTTTTGCATCAGAATCCCCTTGTGTTCTCATAAAATGTGAATTCCAGAGACTCACTCTAAAGCTACAAGATCAGAATATTCTCAAGATAACAGATTTAAATACTCAATAAGCTAGCAGATGCAATAGAATAATATGCTTCATTCCTACTAGGCCTCTGAGATATTGGCTCATTCTTTGTGTATTCTTTCAGCAGTTTCTTAAGCTACTGTGGGTAGGAACTGGGTTAGTTTCTGTGAACTCAATGAGAATGGTACAAATAAAAGACTCCTAGACTTCCTCAGAGAAACCCAGTGATGCTCTGTGGAAGGAGTTAACAGCCACCAGAGAAGACCAGGAATTTGGGAGTTCAGAGATGGGCAAGATCACTTCTATGTGAGGGGGCTAAAAAGCTAGAAAGTGTCATGGAGGACTTGGTCCTGGAGCCTTTATTGGCTAGGAAGAGTTGGGGTATGGGATGAGGAGGGAAGAGCTGGGAGGAAAAATGGCAGTGGATGGAAGTGAGAATGTGCAGCAAGAGATCGTGAACAGTCATTTAATGCAAACTGGAGCTGAGAATGGGGGTCTGAGAAAAGAAGTTGGAAAGATAGGATTACGTTTTCATTAGGGAGGGTTTTGTGGGGCTGGCTTCAGTGTTTAGACTTTGTTTTGTAGCTGATGGAAGCTATTTTAAGCAAGGGTGTGATATCATACTAAGCCATGTCTAAGGACGTAACATTTGGAAACGAGGGAGGGGGGAGGAGTAGAGTGAGAAAGGCTGGAGCTTCCGGGTGGTGGAATGTTGTAACTGTGTGGGTGAGAGGCTGGGGGTCTTGGCAGAATCTTGGCAATAGAAATGGAGGGGAACAGGGGTGCCTGGGTGGCTCAGTCGTTAAGCGTCTGCCTTCGGCTCAGGTCATGGTCCCAGGGTCCTGGGATCGAGCCCCGCATCGGGCTCCCTGCTCAGTGGGAAGCCTGCTTCTCCCTCTCCCGCTCCCCCTGCGTGTGTTCCCTCTCTCACTGTGTCTCTCTCTGGCAAATAAATAAATAAAATTAAAAAAAAAAAAAAAAAGAAATGGAGGGGAACAGATGTGAGAGCCACTGAGGAAGCAGAACCATAGGCCTTGTTGGTTTGACAGTTTGGCCAGACTTTCAAAGGCATATTAGTTAGGATATGCTGGGTCATGCTGCAATAACAAATTAATCTTGAAATCTCTGTTTTTAACATAACAAAATTTTACTTACCTCATGTTTTACATCCAAGACTGATTGGCAGGGGGCTCGATTGTACTCAGTCACTCAGGGACCCAGGTTGAAAGAGGCTCTGTTATCTTTCAGCTGCACTACAGAGCATGTGGCCTCCTGAATGCTAAAGAAGAGGAAGAGACAGATGCAGACAGAGCAAAGACCTTTAACTGATCTGACATCAACATCACTTCCACTCAGAGTCTGTTGCCCTAAACTAATCACATCTAACTAAATATCTATAAAGGAGGCTGGGAAAGTAGGGGAAAACGTGGACTATTTGGTGAGCCTTCCATTTTTTAGTCATAATACGGCAATTTTTGCATTTCACCCAGAGGCAGAAATTAAGAAATCACATACCTGAGTTGCCCCTAGAACATGGAGGTAAATTGGTAGGAGGAAGAAACTGGAGAATAATTTTTGTAACATAACCAGTCACTTTTAGAGGTGGTATTACAATTCCAGGCACAAGGGGTGGTATGCTTTCAACTCAAGTGGTTCTACCTTAGAGGTTTAGGCTTTAAAAGTTAGTCAAAGGAGTCCCTGACTGTGACTATCTGTAGTAGTGAACACACCTCACGTAAGGCAAGCAGAAACCAGGTCATGTACATGCATACACATACATACACATACACCCTTGGGTTTTAATGAAGATAGATAGATGATAGAGAGAGAGAGAGAGAGAGAGAGAGAGAGAGATACATACATAGAGAGAGATTTTAAGGATTTTATTTTATTTTTTTTATTTTTTATTTTTTTAAAGATTTATTTATTTATTTGAGAGAGCGAGAATGAGAGAGAGTACATGAGAGGGGGGAGGGTCAGAGGGAGAAGCAGGCTCCTCGCTGAGCAGGGAGCCCGATGCGGGACTCGATCCCGGGACTCCAGGATCATGACCTGAGCCGAAGGCAGTTGCTTAACCAACTGAGCCACCCAGGTGCCCAAGGATTTTATTTTTAAGTAATCTCTACACCCAACATGGGGCTCAAATTCATGACCCTGAAATGAAGAGTTGCATGCTCTTCCAACTGAGCCAGCCAGGTGTCCCTAATGTGTAAAACAAAAACAAAATCCCCAAATCCAAATATATTTATCTTCCTCAACAACCTCAGAGGTTTTTAGAAATAAAAATATTTTTATGGAGTGAGAAGTCTTTTGAGAAGCCCCACTAACTATTTTGAAAGTCTTCCTTCTGAGTCTTGAACACCCTTCCCTCCAAAAGAACCTGGGCTGCCGTCAGACAAACACACTGATGCAGGCAGCAAGTAATCACTCTGTGCCCACCAAGTCCCAAGCATTCCTCTAGGCCCTGGGGATGCCACCTTTCTGGAACTTACGTTTAGTTGGGGAGAAATATATTGAGTCAGTACACAATTAGAACTTTAACCAGGACTTCATACTCCAAACTCTTTGCACTAACATGTCATGTTTATTCTTCAAAGGAAATCTTCCAGCTTTCTATCACTGCCACCTCCTGAAGAACTAGCTCCTTCCCAAGCCTCCTTGAAAAACTCTAACAAGCCCAAACTTATTGGGTGGCATGAGGGGGTCTGGTGCTAGGGGGAGATGAAGATGAATAAGGCTTTCTCTTTGCTTTCAGAGGGGCTTCTGGTCTATTTCTTGGGTGCCAATCTATCTTTTTCTGATGTGCCCCCCAATGTTCACAAAATTTCAGGCCAATGCTAGAGCGCCTGAGCTATCATGACTGCACCATGGCCAGGCAAGAGAAGAGCTCTTTTTGCCCACCTTTATGAAGGGCAGGAAGATATTCAGGAAGAGGATGGGGGTACTTTCCACCCCTGCACTCCAGACAGAACTGTTGTATTAACCAAAAAAAAAAAAAAATCTGGTTCCAGAGCGAATCGAAAGCCATCTTCTTTTTGCTCCTAGGGACAGTGGCTCTACCAGAAACTACTTGGAATCGTTGGGGCAGAAAATAGAAGGCTCTTTGGGAACACAGTGCCTCTGATCCCACTCCTTTTATGCCCCAGGAAAAGAAAAGAGGCCCATGTGAAAACCCCTCCTGGGGCTTCCCAACCAGTTAAACATGAGGGAGAGGAGAAAAGGGGAAAAATTCTAAATAAAAGCAAAGTCTTTGAAAAACTTCAAAGAAACATTTCTCCTGTTCAGAAGTCAAGAGCACATCTGGCTGGCGGTGAAAAGAGAAGTGGTGTCATCTGGGCAAAAATGTTCTTTTCAAATATGTCCTTTAAGAAAAGCAAGAAAGGAGAGTGCAAGAGATTGAGAGGAGAGGAATAATGCAAAGAGGGAAGGGAAGTTAAAGGGAAAGGAAAAGAAAAAAGGGAAAAAACCTCCTAAATCTTGTAATGTTTTAGGAGGGCTTATTAGAGTGAAAATTAAGTGTCATACAGAGCTCTGCTCCAGTATTGATGGCCTTTATTCAAAGAGCCATCACCCTGTAAACTCACTTTAACAACTCCCTTCAGATGAAATATAAAAATTAAAGACATTTACAACACAGCTTAGTAGCAGATGTAGTCGTCCTATTGGGGCTTAGATCAAATAGTGATGTAAACCCCAGCAGGATAACAGGTCTTATGAAAAAGTCCTTAACAACAGCCCCCAAAAATCTTGGAAATCTTACAAAACATGTTTCCCATTCTCTCCCAACCTCAAGGGTCCCCCTCCTTCCCCCAGCCCCTCCCGTGATCTGCTAGACTCCTTTTCCATCGTCATCCTTGTCTGGAGTTCTTATGAGTCACTCTACACTTAGCAACTGGACCAAAAAAGAAAAAAAAAAAAAAAATCTGGTTGGGCTTCTGGTTATCTTCTCCATCTAGTCATCTGCCTCCATCATTAACTGGGGGAGCACCAGGGTGAGGGATGTGCTGAGCAGTCTGAGAAAAAGACTGATATGTACATATAGCTCAAATGGAGATTGAGGTCTGACCTTCACCTTGGTCTGTTCTTCCCCATTTGCGTCTCCTTCTTCTTCGGCTCTCATTTTTCCACCTAGAGGAACCCAAAAAGAGATTTCCAATTTGATTTAGAGGCTGGGTCCTCACTAGTATGGGAAACATTTATATCTGTTATATTGTAACAACCGCAGGTGGGGGCCTTCTCCCCAGTCTACCCTTTCTAAAGAAGCCTTTCTTTCTTTTTTTTTTTTATTCTTATGTTAATCCCCATACATTACATCATTAGTTTTAGATGAAGTGTTCCATGATTCATTGTTTGTGCATAACACCCAGTGCTCCATGCAGAATGTGCCCTCCTCGATACCCACCACCAGGCTAACCCATCCTCCCACCCCCCTCCCCTCTAGAACCCTGTTTGTTTTTCAGAGTCCATCGTCTCTCATGGTTCGTCTACCCCTCTGATTTCCCCCACTTCATTCTTCCCCTCCCGCTACAAGAAGCCTTTCTTGAGGATTTATTCTGGGAGCCATCTTCATCCATCCACCCACACCACGCACCCATTCACGTGCTCATTCATTATTTCAAAAAGTACATTCATGTGTCTATGACATGCCAGGCACTGGGAAGGTGCTGGAGGCATGGACATGATCATCCTGTTGGTTATGGTTCTTTTTGTCCTTGAGCTGACATGTCCATGGACTGGCTTTGGAAAGAGAAAAAGCTTAGAGAATGAAAGTGGAGAGGTATAAGTAAGATCTATGTGAGAATTTCTGGTTGTTAGGTTCAGTTTTTCTGTGCCCCCAACTCTTAAAAATGAAGCCAATGACCTTTCTTGTCCCCACCACAGTGTATGGAAAGAGTCAAGTTGCCCTTTAGGCCCAGGGGCTTGTCCCCAGACTCCTCTTTCCTGGCAGATGATCACTTAGCCAGTGATTTGGGAGTGATGGTGTTAGATCTTTGGCCACAGCTTGGCCCTTGGACCAGACAGAGGCCAAGAGGCTGGAAAATAAAGAAGAATCTAAAGGGCCTTGATGAAAAAGAGAGCAAATCCTGACCCTGTAATGAGCTCTACTCTGAGGATAGGTCAAGGCCCCGCTTCATTGGAAGCAACCTGATAAGAAAACCAAAATAAAGTGTTATCACCTCAGCTGGCTGAACCAAGGCCAGTGAGAAAATTGTCCTAGGGAGCCCTGAAAGCAGTAAATGAGAAGCTAGCTTGGATGTCACATGGAGCTTAAGAAGGTTGGAGACATTCCAGGGCTAAGTGGGGGCCTTCTAAGGTCATGCAGTCTACAGTTTTCCAACACCCAAGCCAACATTTACAGCTTGAACTCATGCCCTCCCTGCCCTCCTCTCTTTTGCTTTACCCAAGAGATCTGCAATATGATTGGGTTGCAAATTTTGTCTGGTCCATCCCCATACCTCCCAGCAGGCTTGGCTGGATTTTGTTTCACACATGGTCTAATCTGAAAACAAACACTGGAAATCAGCTGGTAGGGTGGGAGGCCATGTTGATATGACCAATGATCAAGGAAAGTTCCCTCTCTGGATCCCTGCAAGGAATGACTTCAAAGGTACTTTCCTCACACTCACTAAGTATCCTCCTACTCACACACATACTCCACACCTACAGACGGCCACAGTCCCAGTGGATGACTTTGCTATGCTCTGGGCCATTTGGTCATAGAGGAGGCAGCATTTACCTCCACTAATGCAAGGTCAAGTCTGTGAAGAGAATGTGTGCTTATGTAAAGAACCAAAGAAGATAATAGTTGCAGCCTATGTCACAGGCATGGACTAATCTTCGATTAAATAATGATATTCAGATGACATTTCTTGGCAACTGGCAGACCAGCTGGAAAAATAAGTCAAAATTTCCACAGAGAATAGACCGTTTTGCCATCCAAAGCTGGCCAAGTACAAACAACAAAGGTTCTAAATACATGTGAATAAAAGGTCCCAGCTCTCTGGCTTGCAAAGGGGCTCCCTTTTCTCCTCACAGAACTGCACATACGAGCGTGCACATATGTGTAAAGTGCACATGTGAATTTAATATCTGCTGCATCCAATTGTCTGTCCTCTTCCTCCTGGGTATTCTGACCCTTGAAACTTCCTAGTCCAGCTTTTCATTTTTCAGATGAGGAGACAGAAATCCGAAGAGCTGAAGAGCTTGAAGGACTTGCCCGAGGCTACACAGCAAGCCAGGAGTCTTGACTCTCATTCCAGTGCTCTTTTGAGTACAGTCTGACCTCCACAGAGCTGATTGGTGGAATCTGTAAGCACCCATCATGGGATGCATGCATGTGTGCAAGAATCAGCGTCATTGGGCTGATGTCTTAAAGGTACATGTGTATGACATGACCTGATGGGAAAACTCCAGCTTGGACCTAGTCTAATGTCCGAATCCCAAAAGAGAATGGTGGAGGCCCTGATGCAGGGACTATTTACACAGAGGCTGGTGGAGTCAAGGGAAGCTGACAAGGGATGGGGCAGAAACCCATGTGCAACAGTAGAGAGCTCTTCTGGTCCTTAGACCAGAAGGAGGCCAGTAGAGGGAGAAGTTTCCCAAACCCAAAGAGAGGTTGGGTTGCTCTCTTGGTTGGGGGGCTCAGTCAACCAAGGTAGCCTGCCTGGCGGAAGCTGCGAATCAATACTGTGACCTCCCCCTTCCCCATTCTCTCAACTCCTACTTGTGCCTCCCATTGCATGAAGCCAACAGGAGCTAAAGGCAGGGGGGCCAGGATGTGGGCCATAAGTTGGGCCTCCCTGTGGAAGAGAGTGGTGATTGGGTCTAGAGGAGCAAATAGAATATCCTGCATGTCTGGGTTCAAATCTCAAGTAGCTTTGCTACTTACCATGCTGTGACTTGGGATAAGTGACACAATCTTCCCTTGGATTCCTCGTCTGTGAGATGGTTATAATGCCACCCACCTTGAGAGGTGAAGTGACTGGTAGGGCTGCTGTACGTGCAGCTCTGAGCTCAGTGCCCATCACTCCTGGTGCAGTTTTCTCTCCTCTCAGGAACACCAGAGGCTCCTGGACAATTTGGCAATAGAAACCCGAAGCCTTACACTTTTGCAGACCTTCTGATCCAGCAATTCTGCTTCTAGGAATTAGTTTCAAGGAACGAATCTGGCCCATGCACAAATTTATAATGCTTTTTGCCACCCCGCTACTTAAAATGTGAAAATTGGGAGCAGATTTACTGTCTATATCCATCAGGACTCCTAGATGCAAACAACAGAAACGGATTCTGGATGAGTTAAGCAGAAAAGGAATTTATCGAAGTAATACGGGATGACTCACAATTGCCAGAAGAGGCCAGGTTGCCTTGGTGGCTGAAAACAATTAGCCTTCTCCTCTTGCACACTCAAGCTCGTGGCTGATAATTTGTGAGCAGCAATGTATAAACCATGCCCCAGACACCCAGTGTTCATACCAAATTGTGTGGGCAAACCATCTTGTCCCTACCACCCGAAGTCATGTTTCGTGGGCAAATTCCAGATGCACCAGCAGAATGAGGGAGATGTGCTTAGTAGCAGCACTTGTGGAAAAGACTTGAAGAGGTTGGTCACCAGCAAGCTCCACACCAAGCCCAGACTGAGGTTCTTAAAGGAGCCAGTCAGCCCACTCCAGTTCACAAAGGCGGTCACAGATAGACTACAGGGATCGTGGGGGAAAGTGGACCCAGTGCTGGTACTTTGACCCCAACCTGCCTGTGCCTAGAATGTTGATGCCCAGGTTCCCTTTACTGGGCCTGTTTGCCCACCCAGATGCTCTGTGGGCTATTGACAGCTCACAGCTGCCCACCTTCTCCACTGAGTTGACTGAGGGAGTGCCTTGCCTGGGCAAGGTTTCTTCATCCTCTGACCCCAAGGATCTGGCAAAAGCCAGACTTTTCTCCTCTCTTTTCCTTCTTTAATTTTCCTTCCTCTCTCCCTTATCAGTTTTCCTTGAGGAGCACCACCCCCTTGATAAATCAGCCGTACTCAATCCTTATCGCAAGCTCTGCTCCTAGGAAAACGGGCCGAAGTCATTGTCTGACTTAGATTTATGCCTGGCCTTGAATTCCGTCAAGGGATTTGTGCTTGGGGCCTGGTTTCTGCCCCCATTTGGCTCCCAGGCCCTGCTGTCACCAAGCCCAGCGTGATAGTGAAGGAGAAAAGGCTTACAGTGTTGTGGGAAGGATAGATATTCATGCAGGGGTGCGATTTTGTTTTGGTCCTCTCACAGAGGAGCCAGATCTCAAATGATCAGACTGGGGTGCCTCTCCCTCTCGTGACCCCCCAGCACCCCGTGTCTACCTCTATTGTCACATACACCAATCACACTGTTGTGTGTGTGTGTTTTTTTTTATATAATACTCTGCTTTCTTGTCTTTCTCCCCGATGAGCCTGAGCTCTAGAGCGAGGAAAGTCTCAAACTCAGAAATGGAAGTGATTGGCATTATTATTGACAGGCACACAGGTAATCTTCATCAAGTGAAAGCAAGAATCTTCAGAGGACAGGTCTCCCCCAACTCAGGGGGTCAGTACTGATCTTTGGGGAGAGGGGATTTACCCCCAAAGCCAGGCTTGGTTATCAGAGTGGCCCATAGATGAGCTTGGGCTGAGAAATGAATGAGCGCAGATTCTCATTACCTACAAGTCATTAAGTTATGATTTGAAAAAAGGGAGAGAGGAAGGCATGAACATCTGTAAAGGGATACAACATCTGTATTCGGCCATGCACAGCTACCACGCTGGCCCACGGGGCCACCTTTAATGAACAGCATATGTTATGGTTTCTGCAGACCATATTGTATACCTGCTTTGTGCAAAGCATTACACAACACAAAGGCGATTTCCGTTGCGGTCCCTGCCCCCAAGGACCTCACAGTTTCAAAGTAAACAGGCGGTTATAGAATGGATAATATTTATTGAGTGTTCACTATGTAACAGGCGTGGTTCGAGACACTTCACATGTATTAATTCATTTAATTCTCACTGCAACTGTCCGAGATAGGTAATCCTACAAGGGTAAAAACTGAGGCTCAGAGAGGTTTATTAACTTGCCCAAGAAGACAGCTCCAGAGTGGGAGAGCCAGGATTTGAACCCACACGCTTTTAGCTCCAGAGCCCCTCAGCACTCAAACCCAGAGAATGCTCTGGGCCATTTAGTCAAGAGCAGGCAGTATTTACCTCCAGAATGAGGAGTGCTGCAAAGAGAAGTGACTGAATTACCACAACAAGCCCACTCTTCTTACAGAAAACCTTTACTAATGTCCTACTGGCTCACCCAAATCACCGCGTCCAAAATGAAAAGCGTGCATCCTTTCCCTTGATCGTCTGCCCCTTATCCTCCTCCTTCTGGCCAACCATGTCTCTATCAATGATCTCAATCCAGGATCTCAGAGCTGTCCTCCATCCTTCCTTCTCCCATGTCACCTGTCACGTCTACCTGCTTGCTAGGTCTGCTGGATTTCACATCAGGCAGAACTCCATAACTCAGCCCCTTGTCCCCACGCTCCCAGCCCCCAATTGCTGGGATCACTGCAGTGTCCCCGGTAGCTTCCCGACCCCGCTCCTTCCCCCGTCGATGCCCGTCTTTTATTTATTTATTTATTTATTTATTTATTTATTTATTTATTTATTTATTTATTTGACAGAGAGAGACACAGCGAGAGTGGGAACACAAGCAGGGGGAGTGGGAGAGGGAGAAGCAGGCCTCCCGCAGAGCAGGGAGCCCAATGCGGGGCTCGATCCCAGGACCCTGGGATCATGACCTGAGCCGAAGGCAGACGCTTAACGACTGAGCCACCCAGGCGCCCCCCGTCGATGCCCGTCTTACTAATGCCTCCTCACACGGCCCACCCCGGCCACTCTGCAAGCCTCCGGGAAGTGACTCGGACTCTGGTCCAATCCATCCCGGAGGCCAGGGCTCTGCCTTTTTAAGAGTAATTCTGGCCGGGACTAGGAAGTGACTCACCCCAGCTTCCCCCCAGGGCAGGGCAAGAGAGGCCCAGCTGTATGCACCAGAAATCACACTGCTTCGCAAACGGTTCATTCCCATGTGACTCACCTGGGAATCCTGGTGAAGCGCAGAGTCTGATTCAGTAGGTCTGGGGTAGGGCCTGAGAGTCAGCATTTCTGAGGAGTTCCCAGGGGAGGCGGCTGCTGCTGGCCCCCAGACCTTAGTTTGAACAGCAGGTACTAAAGGGCAGTGTTAGGGGTGACAGTAGGGCTGTCTCCAGCCACAATCTTAGGCCAGGACAAGCAGAGCTAGAGACAAAATCAGCCCCGGAAAGCTTTATCGAGCATGTGCACTAGGCCAGATGCCAGGCCACGTGCTACTGAAAGCCCAGGGGAGCTGGCATGGCGGGGCTCCTGACGTACGTTCTCTCTAGTTCTTGCGATATTGCTCACAATAGGTACAATGATCAGAGATGCTCAGAGGGAGGCTCAGAGGCAGAAAGGGCAGACCTGAGACCCCATCATCATTGCCTGAGTTCTCGGGTACCTGGAGCTGCAGGCCTGTCAACGAACACTAGGCCCAGGCTGGGCCACCTGAGACCCCCCAACCTCCCCCCAAGCGCCCACCTGGAGCAGGCGAAGCGACAGAGCACAGGACCCTCGGTGGGAGGAGGCCCTGAACAGAGACAGCAGAGTGAGACTGGTGGAGAACTCTGGACTGGCTGTTTACCCTGGTTTGACAGTAAAAATGAGCAGCGTGACCCTGAGCAGCATTTTCCCTCGCTGGGCTCCTTTATTCACTGGGAAGGCCAGGGGCAGGACCGGGTACCTAATCTTTGGGGCATAGCAGACAATGAAAATGCGGGCCTCTGGTTAAAAAAATGCCTACGAATTTCAAGATGGCAACAGCAGATCGTTAACCCCTGAGCGGGACCCTTCCCAGTGTGGGGCTCTGTGTGTCCTCACAGGTCGCACACCCGTGAAGCCAGCCCTCGGGTAGGGTGGGACAAAATGATGTCTAATGCCCCTTCACGCTCTATTGTCCAGGAAAGTTGCTTTTCTGCTGTCATCCTCATTTTGCATATTTATAATTTATCTGTCACCCGGAAAATACGTGCGGCAACCTCTCTCCACCTGGCTCTGCCTCTGTCTGGTGTCATAGGATCATCTCCCTCCTCGTCCCATCTGCTCTACCACCCGAAGACCTTGCAAGGTTTGCTGTGTCACAAATGCGAGAAATTGCCCCAGGCCCGTGGCCATCTTGGAGGAGCCGAGGGAGAGCACGGGTGGGAGGAAGGAGAATATGCCCTTCTTCTGTCCTGGATCCCATCCTGTGCAGACAGCTCCTTCATTTCCCAGGTCTTTCCCGCCTCCCCGAGAATCGGAACATTGAGGCATTGAGAAGAGTGAGTCAGCAGCACAAGTCCTGTCCTTGCCTCCTACCCCCCCAATCCCCCACCCAGGGGCTGAATACCTCAGTTCCCAAACTCTCTGAGTCAGGGAGGTCGCCCTGAGGACATCTGCCTGTTTATCTGAGCCAGCCGGAGCAAGCAACAGCTGCTCAAATGAGCCCAGGAGGGAGGACACTTCCCGGGGCCAGGAGGCCAGAGCAGGTGGACTCCTTGCCCTCGCCCCGGACGCCTGCAACACTGTCCAGGTGGCGGAGTACAGGGAGGGCACTGGCTGCTCGGTACCCTTCCAGCATTTCAGAGCCTCGGCCCAGCGCCCAGCAGAGCCCCTACCAGCATCTTTTGGGATGCTGAGCGTCGGGGTTGTCAAAGTGTAGGAGGCAGTCCACGGCACAAACTGGTCCCTGAGAAACAGACAGAGGCACTGGCCTGAGTGTCAGGGCCCCGGAGTCTCTCTCAGGTTTTGCCACTGACCTTGGGGGAAAAAAGAATCACCTTTTCTCTCTTGATACTCTCTGGGCCTCAGTTTCCTTATCCAAAACGCGAAAGATCTTCTTTGCCCCCTTCCCCAAGGCAGAATGAATCGGTCCTTCTCTGGGATCCCCAAGCATCCAGTACTGTAACTTGATCAGGCACTTTCCACGTCGTGAGATGGTTGGTCGGTTCCGTATCTGACTCTCCCTCTAGGTGATCAGCTCCTTAAGGGCAGGCAACATATTTCAGTCCTTCCCTGGTGCCCGCCTTAGCCCTCACCCTCCACTCTTCTGTGTCTTAGATGCTCAGACTGCACCGGAGACGCTGGTGTGCAGGGAACGACCATCTTTCACATGCAGGAAGGTGAAAACATCACACGTGCCCTCTGCCTGCAATGGGAGAGATGTAAACAAAGGGAAGCCTGAGATCTCTGCCCACCACGCCAGCCCGAAGAACTGTCTTTGGAAACCTCCCCGACTCGCATGCCCTCTCTCTCTCTGTCCCGTGCCTGCCTGGCCACCACTGAATTTTGTCTTCTGTCACCCGACTGCAATGGCCCAGTGTCCTGTCGACATCCGACGGTCATGTGAAGCCCAGAAGGCCCAGCAGTGCTGCCTGAGGAGAGTTCGGGCTCTTGCCAGGAATGGTGAGGCAATTCCTGGTAATGGGCATGGGGCACAGGTATGAACTTCAGACCAGACCCTGGGGAGGTGTCTAAGGAATAAACGGAGGTGAGAAAATTCTGGAAGCAGCATCTGCTTCCCCTGGGAGCCCAAGAGGGCTGGGAAAAGGCCTGTGAGCCCTTGGGGAGGCGCAGGGCTCCACCGACAGGCGGACTCCTGAGGCTCCTCTCCTGTTCTTTCTGCCCCTCTCCGCTAGTGGGTAAGGAACACTTTGGGGACTTGCAGTCACCGGAACCAAGGCAAGGTTGGTATTACAGACCAAACGGAGCCCTCCTTTCCCTCAAATTCATACTTCGAAGCCTTAATCCTCAATGTGATGATATTTAGAAATGGGCCTGTAAGGAAGTAATTAAGGATTAATGACGTCACAAGGGTAGGGCCTAATGCAATGGGCTGGTGCCCTTATAAGAAAAGATGCCAGAGACCACTCTCTCCACCCGCCACGGAGAAGAGACCATGTGAGGACATACTGAGAGGGTGGCTGTCAGCCGGCCAGGAAGAGGGCTCTCACCAGCAACCAGCTCTGCCGGCACCCTGATCTTGGACTTCTAGCCCCCAGGACTGGGCGAAAATGAACTTCTGCGGTGTGAGGCACCCAGCCCGTGGTATCTTGTTATGGCAGCCTAAGCTGACCAATACCATTGGCCTGTTGGCGGGCACCACCTCTCATGCACCAGGGTGGGGCCAGATGTCACAATACAGGGGCTAAGCCAGAGGTTTTATGGGAAAGGGGAAATTTTAAGGCCAGCAAAGGTGTGGGTCCCCGTTCTCCCACTGTGCCCGTGGGGTGGTGTCCTGGGCTGGGGAGGTGCTCACTGCCATGTAGCAAGTCGGCCCTTCCTGAGGATCCTTCCTTCTTATGGAACAAGCAAGAGAGGAACCTTATCACTGGGGGCAGCAATCAGACCACTTTAGCACAAGGCAGACTGGCCTCGGGGGCCAGCATTTACCAGAGCTGTCTGGGGCCGTCAGCTCCTAGGACCTGGAGCCCTTGAGACCTTGTGACTGAGGACACCTGAGCTCAGCCACAGGCCCTCCCCACTGGCAGATTCGGGGCCCTTGGTGCCTGCAAGATCATTGCTTCAGCAATCTGGAGTGAGCACCAGGATCATTCCAGACAACCCAGGTGCTTTTGTTTAGGCATAGACCAGAGCAATCAGAACAGCATTCCCCTGGGGTTGACAAGCTGTGGGAAAGGGAGTGAACCCAGGAGAAGGTCAAATGCAGGGACAGTGCTGGTCACTTGATCAGCTGCCCTTCCCTATCGGAGACTCTCCTGCCTAGAACGGATTTAGTCCTGATTAAGGAGTGGGCATTCCTTCCATATGAGGGGACAGGGCAGGATCCTAGGGGACCCACGGGATCATGGGCCACTGGGTGTCGCCAGGCCAATGAGACCACATGACCCTAAATGCTCTTGACCTGCAGTGGCCTCCTCTGTTGGGGGGGAAGAGAGTGCTGAGGGGGCACGAAGTTTCAGGGTTCACGTGCTCGAGGGAGAGGGCCAGAGGCAAGACTCACCAGCCACCTGTGCCCCAGCCTTCCAGGGGGGCTGAGCTGCGCCCAGGCTACTTTCCTCCCCACCCCTGGATGCCTTTCTAAAAATGGACATGTCTGGCGAGTGAGGGCCTACGATACAAACCATACTTGGCTTTGCTTCTTCCCCCAGACCTTGATAGCTGAACCAAGCACCCCCCATAGTGTGCGTGTGCCCAGGATGGTATGGATGCGTGTGTGTGTGTGTGTGTGTGTGTGTGTCTGTGTATCTGTGATGTGCTGGCTCTGGAGAGAAGAACGGAGACGGGGCAGACTGCTCTCTCCCGCCCCACCATCCTCCTCCCATGCTGACCCCCTGGCCTGATCCTGCGGCTGACGTCACTCACAGGGTCTTGTCTCCCATGGTGCTTTCTCTGCAGTCCATCCAGGAGCAGCCAGGCTTTGATGGCCCCCTCTGGCTGCCTCGTAAGGTCGGACTCAATGGGAGGCTAGCAGAGCAAAAGATCAAACAGGTCTCTGCACAGTTTACCTCTGTCTGTCCTGCCCGTACCCTGGGCAGCATCTCAGCTTTGGTGGATTTCACTGTCACTTTCTGTGATTACCAAACAACTTCAAAATGTGTCCAGGCCAGGGGCGCCTGGGTGGCTCAGTCGGTTAAGCTTCTGCCTTCAGTTCAGGTCATGATCCCAGGGTCCTGGGATTGAGCACCATGTCTGGCTCCCTGCTGAGTGGGGAACCTGCTTCTCCCTCTCCCTCTGCCCCTCCCCCCCACTCATGCTCAATTTCTCTCTCCCCCTCTCTCTCTTTCTCAAATAAATAAATAAATAAATAATCTTAAAAAGAAAAAAAGTCCAGTCCCGTCTAATCCAAGAGTTTCACCCTCTCACCCAATTTAAGGTCTCCCTGTCCCAGCTGAGCCCCATCTCAGGGGAAGAGGCTGTGTTTAGCTTCCATGTGCAGCTTCTGGGGTCTTGGGGTTGGAGCAGAGGAAGAGGGGTGACAGAGGACAGAAGTCTTTCTCTCCTGGTCTATTGCCATCCGGCACTGGGGATCCTGGCACGCACACAAATACTGGCTCATTTCCTTCTAACGAGCATTTGTGGGTCCTCCTAGGGTTCGTGGGCTGTGCCTTTACTTGGCATGGGAGACACCATCTCTAGCCGACAGCTTATGGCCAGCCCTGCTCGACCTCCATTCTGTGGCGCACCCTATGGGCCACCTCCAACCTCTTTCTGCTGGAGTTGCCTTAGCTCTGTCAGGAAGCTGGCTTGGCTGGAGATCCTGTCAAGACAGAAGCCAACCTGCTGCCTGCCGTAGGTCCACGTGGCCCACAGACAACTGCCTGTCCTTTCTTCACCTTGGGTGAAGCATAGCTTGTACCCACTGTCACCTTCTCAGTCTCCCGCATCAGGCTGTGGTCATCCAGCCCCTTGCCTTCAGACTTCTCCAGACAAGCTTCAGGGATCCACCCAGTGTCTCCCTCTCTGGTGCTTCAGGTCAGGCTCTCTCAAGGAGTCCCTTCCTGAGGGGCCCCAGTTATTGGTGTCACCATCTCTCAGATTTCTGTAGCTCAGTGAGCCTCTGGCCAGAAGGGTGAGTTCACTGTCTTCTCATGGGAAACACGCCTGTTCTGTAAGCATGGTCCTCCCGAAGTCCCCCTCTCTCCCTGCCTGAGAGTGAGCAGATGAGCAGTCCTGCTGACAACGTTGGACGTTCTCTGCTCCAGTCTCTGCCGACTGGTCCTCCTCTGTGCTTTAGAGGAGGGGGTGGACTAAGAGAATGGTCTTCAAACTATCTTGTTTGACTACTTCCTAAAAGGATTTTGGAAAACTATGTAGCCTTTCAAGCATCTTTAAGCATTTTAAATGCTTTTACTACTAAACATTTAAGACTGACATCTAAAATTTTACATCAGAAGTTGAAACGGTTCCAAAGGATGAGATTTCTGGTGCACTGAACATGACAAGCACACTTTAAATACTTTTCACCGAGACCCTGAAGTTGCTGGTTTCGATCATCCAATGTATGCAACATGGCTACTGTTTAACTTGGCAAAATCAAAGACTTCAGTCAAAACTTTTTCTAAAAAAGGAAAATTCTGATTTCACTCGAAAAAGTGAAAATATTGTATTAACATAATACAAAAGTTAATATGTCCTGGAAACCCCTGCATTCTTTTTTTTTTTAAATTTTAGATTTTATTTATTTATTTGAGAGAGAGAGAACACAGGCAGGCAGGAGCAGCAGAGGGACAGGGAGAAGCAGGCTTCCCGCTGAGCAGGAAGCCGGCTACGGGGCTCGATCCCAGGACCCTGGGATCATGACCTGACTTAACTGACT